TTCATCATATTCGACATCTTTGAGTGGACTGATGAAATCTTCTGCTTAAAAAAAAAATATTACTGCTCGTGATCAGGTAGCATGAATTTAATGAAATGTCATAATTTTATTAAAAGTCAAATGGTTAACAACAACAACGAATGTCATTTAATGAAACTACCTTCTTTTTTGTATCATGGACTTTCATTACAAACTGTATTAATGGGACGTATTCATAGTCAAAATTAATAGCGTTTTCTTTTCTCGAATAAGGGTTGCACTTATTCTGACCTGTGTTAGCGCTGTCAAATTTTTATGTTATTTTTCTCAGCCGTATCACAGGTGTTTTTTTCTCAGCAGGTTGCGCTCTGCTCCAACAAAAGTGCTCCCTTTTCTGCCCTCAAATAAACGTGAGGGTGAGAGTTGCTCAGTTGAATTTTAATTTACGCTTGTAAAAATAAACTTATTTTCCGTATCAGAAATAAGTGATTTCCTATGAAATTAATTAAAGACTTACAGGGCAAGTGAATAAAGCAGATTTATAAGTTCAATATATGAACATGTGATGGAGTAGCATATTTTCTGTTTCATTCTCATATAAAGAACGCAACATTTTCTCAGGGTTCAGTTCAACGCAAAGCAAGAGTTCCCATATAAAAGGGCAAAACTTTTTTTGAGACAAGAAAACGCTATAAGTCGACACTTAAGGTAGTTTCAGCTTTTTGACATAATTTCCAACGAGTTTAACGTGTATCGGTGTATCACATAATTTGATAATTAACGTAAATTATCGACAGCTAAAGTTTTAAGTACATATACAAATTTGTATACAAGTTCCTGTGAAATCAGTACATAATTTGCATTCTTTTGCAACCAAGCTACAAAAGAACACTCGCTTGAATGACGAAATACACGCAAAGCAACAACACAAACTCGGCTATTTGTCCGAGTTCAACTAGGCCGGTTAAAAAATAAGCGAGCCGAAAGGTAGTGTTGTTAAGTGAAAAAACAGCTCTATTGTTAATTCCTAATGTGAAAGTGGAGAGGAAAATTTTTGTTTCCTTATATACAGTGACGGGCAACGGGCAAAACTGTAACATGGTGTAGCACTTTTATTTTAGCCATCGCTATCTTTCCAAGTTCTAACTACTTTCACACTTTTGTTGTATATTCTTATTCGTACACCGGTACCTACTCATGACGATTTGAAGTCAATCCACTCACATATTTTTAGTAAGTTTTTGACAATTTTCTAGAAAAAAAGAATTAGTAATACAATGTTCAGTATCATTTTGCTTTTTTAGTTCCTGGATGCGATTTGACTTACTGGATGCGTATCTCTGTAAAAATTCAGGAAATATAGCCTACCATATATCCTTAGTTTGCTTTCACAGCTCAAGTACTCTATTGGACGGACTTGTATACTTAGTAAGCTGTGATTTTAGTTTTAGTTGACTCTGCTAGTTATCGATGAGATTCATGTCCACGGACTGTGGAGATCATTTCAAATTAGCGATTTTGCTTTTGTATCGAGTNGCCGAAAGGTAGTGTTGTTAAGTGAAAAAACAGCTCTATTGTTAATTCCTAATGTGAAAGTGGAGAGGAAAATTTTTGTTTCCTTATATACAGTGACGGGCAACGGGCAAAACTGTAACATGGTGTAGCACTTTTATTTTAGCCATCGCTATCTTTCCAAGTTCTAACTACTTTCACACTTTTGTTGTATATTCTTATTCGTACACCGGTACCTACTCATGACGATTTGAAGTCAATCCACTCACATATTTTTAGTAAGTTTTTGACAATTTTCTAGAAAAAAAGAATTAGTAATACAATGTTCAGTATCATTTTGCTTTTTTAGTTCCTGGATGCGATTTGACTTACTGGATGCGTATCTCTGTAAAAATTCAGGAAATATAGCCTACCATATATCCTTAGTTTGCTTTCACAGCTCATGTACTCTATTGGACGAACTTGTATACTTAGTAAGCTGTGATTTTAGTTGACTCTGCTAGTTATCGATGAGATTCATGTCCACGGACTGTGGAGATCATTTCAAATTAGCGATTTTGCTTTTGTATCGAGTCTTCGCTAACATGTNTCCGAAAGGTAGTGTTGTTAAGTGAAAAAACAGCTCTATTGTTAATTCCTAATGGGAAAGTGGAGAGGAAAATTTTTGTTTCCTTATATACAGTGACGGGCAACGGGCAAAACTATAACATGGTGTAGCACTTTTATTTTAGCCATCGCTATCTTTCCAAGTTCTAACTACTTTCACACTTTTGTTGTATATTCTTATTCGTACACCGGTACCTACTCATGACGATTTGAAGTCAATCCACTCACATATTTTTAGTAAGTTTTTGACAATTTTCTAGAAAAAAAGAATTAGTAATACAATGTTCAGTATCATTTTGCCTTTTTAGTTCCTGGATGCGATTTGACTTACTGGATGCGTATCTCTGTAAAAATTCAGGAAATATAGCCTACCATATATCCTTAGTTTGCTTTCACAGCTCATGTACTCTATTGGACGAACTTGTATACTTAGTAAGCTGTGATTTTAGTTGACTCTGCTAGTTATCGATGAGATTCATGTCCACGGACTGTGGAGATCATTTCAAATTAGCGATTTTGCTTTTGTATCGAGTCTTCGCTAACATGTGCAGTGTGTTTTGGATGATTTTTCATCATAATCTCTAATTTTTTCGGCTTCGGCATTTTGTTGACAGATGCATATGTACGCATAATGCCTACCAACGGTTCAACAATATTTTTGAAATACAACCCCAAACTATTATTGTAAGTCACAGTTTGCATAACATGATGCGCTTGGGCTTGATTCGGGTCCTTGATCCAATACCATGCCCAGCTATCTGATTGAAAGCGATTAATTAAGTCTTGTCAGACCAAACAACCTACAAATTAAGCTAAAAAAGTGTATAGTATTTTTGCTCGCCTTTATACAAGATTAAAAACAATAAACATACATTCTAGATATGTGTATGAATGTGAATTACATAATTTTTTCGGTTATTGACAATAATAAAAAGCAGTGGTATAAATCCAAATAGCATTTTTTAACAGTTTTTTATAACTTGATACTTAGATACTTAAACTAAAAACAAGAGACACATTTAGTCCATTTTTTTTTTACGATAAATTTTTGCATGACCTCTCGGCAACACTGACCATGAGCCATCAAATCCGTTTTGTTGTTCCATTCCATGCGCTCAATGTGCTTTGATATTTTAAGTCAAATTAACGCAAATTTTCAACATATCGTTAATATAGTATGGAAAGGGCGTAATTCACATTGTCGCAAAAAACCCACAACTAACTAAAATTTTGTATAGCATAAAACGATGTGGGGACTTAAAATTCGATGAAATGCATCATAGTCAATCAAAAGGTGAATTTTCGATTTTTAGTTACTTACGGCTTTTTGTATTTCAGCGACGATGTGAGTTACGCTCTTCCCCTATTATACTAATGATATATTGCGTGCCAAGTCCCACTCCTCAATAGATATTAAATTCGCCTTGAATTGATTCTTATTTGATTTGTGAACTTGGCTGTCAACTTTTTCACATTCCATTTTATTTTTATTTAAATGTTGTTGTTTTCGAGCGCAGTATTTGCATATTAAAACCGCTCAAAATTATTTCGTTTGTTTTTCTGCTAAAGCTTAGTATCCAGCTCTTAAGAAAACGGTCAAGAAAAAATTGCCATTATTTCGCGTGTGTGTCCAAGGAATTTTGACATTTTTGATAACGCACAGCCTGTTGCCTCAATCTTTCCTCAAGAAATAATGGAACGGGCATATATTTCTGTTGCAAACCTGGGTTGCCTTGTGCTCTTTTTTCACAAAAAACTTTAGAAAACCGTAGCAGAAAGCGTACTAAATTTCTGAAGAACTGCGTACTGCCTTAGGGAAATTTGACTCAAGAAAATTTCTTAACCATTTCTTGTACGTCATTTTATATGGAGTTTTTGCTTTTCTTAAGAGCTGGATACTAAGCTTAAGTAATAAAAGAAATCACGGAACTTATGGTGTTTTCGTTTCTACCAAAGAATGTTGCCTTTTGATTGCCCCTTTCTCTTTTCGTGTTCGATTCTAAAAGAAAGGCAAACGGTTAGAAAATTTTGTGTTCGTTTCTTAAAATGTCCTAATGTAACATCAAACACATTTTGCACCGTGGAAGGGCAACATTTTTTGGGAGAAACGAAATCGCAATTAATCATAATAAGCCGTTTTATGAAAAAGAATTATTACGCTTTTCTAAGAAAAAGTAGAAAAAAAACTAGCGATGCATCCAGTTTTTTCAACAGACCTTTGACAAATAATATTCGATAGCTACATAATTCTTACCCAATTAAAGGCTATCTTTTACCGCGCAAATAGTCGATTCTCTTTATAGCTAGACATCGAACATTTCCGCTGGAAATACCTATTGAAAGATCTTACTCTTTGACTTTTAATTACAAAAGAAGGGGACGTAGGGAGACAGTTTTAACGTAGAATCTCGACAGGCAAAAAATATTGGCTACAATTTGTCGTTTTATTTGCCAGATATACGTTTTATCCTTGCACTTGCACAATATTCGCATTCGCAAAAGCTCCGCATTATTGAGAATTCGAAAGCGAATGCGAATGTTAAAATTAATTCAAAAGCTCCGCGGTTGCGAATGCGAATGCGAATATTCGCGACAACCCTGCTCCATTATATGCAAATCATAAATTTGTATAGAAATTTTTGTATGTATCTCTACTTAAGTGCGCATAACTTCTACATCTGTTATAAAATTTAGATGAGCAGTGCCTTATTGTATTTATGAAAGATCATGCTTTGACGTGCAAGAATCCAAAAGTTAACAGGTTCTTTCATATTGATATTTTGACCGAAAGTAACTCTTTTTTTAATTTTTTTTTAATTATGCAAAAATGTCGATGAATACATGATTAGCTCCTTAAATACTAATCCGGTTGGAAAATATCGTTTATGTTGGTTGTAGTGCTTCCTGGTCGCTGCCTAGGATACAATTAGCGCATTATTGCGCCATTTTGATGCACTTCTCGCGGGGGATAAATATCTTGTCTATGCACTTCCTATGTTGCTAGGTCGAACCATTTCGACTCTCTAATGAATCTGCCGATTTCGCTAATGGTAGCTCCTGATAGGTCGGTTAGTTCTGCTACTAGATGTTTCCCTAACGTCTTGTGTCTAATGTTCGAAAGGCCTGGACATTCACACAGGAAATGCTGGACACTTTCTTCGCTATCTTCTAGTTGACAGCTGCGGCAAATCATATTATGGGGTAGACCTATTTTTGCCGCATGTTTGCCTATGGGCCAGTGGCCCGTGATGGTTGCTAAAATTCTAAATACCTCTGGCCTTGATCTGCTTAGCAGGTCCAAGGTTTTCGCCCTGTTATAGTCAGGCCATAGTTTTCTCGCTATCTTGCAAGTCTGTATATCTGACCACCTGCGTCTAGCCAGTTCAAGGAAATGCGTAGTAATCTCTCTTTGGACTACTCCAAGAGGGCAACCCAATGCCACTGCCTGGGATTCATCCAAACCGGCTCCTGCCTTCGCCAACTCATCCGCCTTCTCATTGCCTTCTATGTTCCTATGTCCGGGAACCCAGACAAGAGAGACGGTATTTGACTGAGACACTGAGCGCAATATTACTTTGCATTCCCCAACTAGCTTGGATTTGGTAACCGGTGACGCTATTGCCAATAGCGCCGCCTGGCTGTCAGAGTATATTGTTGCTTTACCGCTGTGTCCAACTCTATTGCCTAGGATTTTGCAGGCTTCTAGGATCCCTAGGACTTCCGCTTGGAAGATGCTTGTATTATTTCCCAACCGTAGAGACAGAGCCACGCCGAGTTCCTTGGAGTAGACACCTGCTCCCACACCGCAATCCATCTTGGATCCATCGGTGTATAGAGAGATCTTCTCTCGGTCGGCCACTCGGTCTCTTCTCCAGTCCCTTCTGGATGGGAATAGCACTTGCACGTTACAGCTGAAGTCCAAATTGCCTACGATATAATCTGTCGTCCTATTTAATTGCATTTGATTTATGATCAACCCATGTCCGAAGTGTCTAGTCCTCCAAAGGCCCGACTCTCTGAGTCTGACCGCCGATTTCATAGCCACTTCTTTCAGGTGGAGATCAATAGGAATTAAATTGAGGATGGCGTTTAAAGCTTCTGCCGGGCAGGATCTTAGTACGCCTGTTACTCCTGCGCTTGCTGCCCTTTGTATGCTTCTTAGCTTGCTGACATTATATTGTCTGCTTAGGCCGGGCCACCAAACTAAGGCGCCGTATGTTAGAATTGGTCTTATGATCGCGGTATACATCCACATCACAAGTTTAGGATTTAGTCCCCAGGTTCTACTGAAGATTCTCTTGCAAGTGTAGTATGCTATGTAGGCCTTCTGTCTACGGAATTCGACATTGGCTTTCCAGTTAAGTTTGTTATCCAGCACGACTCCAAGATATTTTGCGCTGGGGGTCAATGAGAGCGCCTTGCCGTCTAGCGATGGTAGCTTGAATTGTGGTAGTTTGTGTCAGTTTGTAAATAGGATAAGTTCTGTCTTGGCTGGGTTCACATTTAGGCCGCCTCTCGTAGCCCAGGCATGTAGCCTTCCCAGGGTTCCTTCAAGGATTTCGCTAACGGTAGAGAGGAATGGACCTGTGGCTGCTATTACAACATCATCCTCATACGCCACAACTTTGACTCCCCCTCTATTGAGTTCTAGCAATATACCGTTCAGGGCTATCACCCATAGCAGTGGTGAGAGCACTCCGCCCTGTGGATTGCCCCTGTTCACATGATGTATAATAGAGCGTTTATGTAGAAGATAGTAAGTTTAATCAGCTTCACTACCGCGAAAAGAAAATTACGATTCGCCAGCTTTATAAAAAACAAGTAAAAAAGTCGTAAGTTCGGGTGGAGCCGGACATTAAATACCCGGCGCAAGTATTAAATATAGTTTTCCACCTTTCGGAGAACTACCGTTACATGGTAAGAAGAGTGGTTTTATCCCTATTTCTAACAATTTCGATGGTATGTTCAGTTATGCTTAATGAGATAAATTTATATAGCTAGATGTGGAAGTAGGGTTGCCAACATTTTCTAAGAAATGTATAGTACTGTTTCAAAAAAATCTGAAAAAATATAGTACACTTCAAATAAATGTAGTACTACATAAAAGTAAAAATTAAAACGTTTTTTAAGTGTACATCTTTTTTCTTTCTCGTGCATTTCCTTTCATATTTCTTTGAAAGTATTATATACTTTAACGCAATCAATATTTAAATCAGAGGTGGCAGCTTCGACAGAGAATTTTTGTAGTGTGCGAGAAATTGATGTCACTGTGTACGTGCGAACAAGTCGTGCGGTTGAATGAAGCTTTCGCTGCCTTCTAAAGCAGAGCGTGTATATATAAGCGAATATGCCCGCCGGGCAGGCGCCGCCCAGATCTGATTTAAATTAACATAAATCAAAAGTTCATTTTTATTAGTGAGGTAGTCGCTTTGTTTCTCTCATCTCGCCATTTGACATTCATAATAGAAAAGACTTTATGTGAATGCCGAAGTTGCAGGTATAGAGAGCAGGAACGAAATAATTTTAGTAAATTTGGTCATTCGTTCTAAGTATTTTTAAAAATGTTGCAATTTTTGATCTGTAGTTCTATTAATAAACTCAGTATGACCTTTTATTTTAAAGAATATTTCATTCAATAGTTTTACTTCAGGATAAAGCTCATCCATTTTAATATACATATTTTCTTGCAAATTACTAAAATATATTAATATTTATAATTAAAGAAATATAGTATTTTTGGATACTATATTTTTTTCCAACAGTATATAGTACACAGTCCGAAAAAATAGTACAATACTATATATTATAGTACGGTTGACAACCCTAGTGGGAAATATCACGCCCACTTTCCAAAATTCAATAATAATGTTACTTCTTTTCAAGGGATTGCTGTTAGTATCAATTTTGAGTAAATTAGCGTCCTTAAATTTCGAAATATCGAAGATTCAAGAATTTCTGAAATTTACCGTCTCATGAAAAGTGGTAGTAATTTTGGTCCGATTTCAATCGTTTTCAACGCTTAGCCTTCATGTGGTAAGCGAAAAATCGTACCAAGTTTGGTACTAATTGATTGAACAGCTACCGAGATATACATACCTGGTCATAAGTGCCACGCCCATTTTCTGATTTATCGAAGATTTCGTATTTCTCTAAATTACAGTTATATGGGATGTGGTCGTGGTTATTGTCCGATTTTTTAAATTTTCTGCCATTTGGTATGTTGTACCAAGGTCAACAACTGTGCAAAGTTTTGGAGAAATTGGTGTATCGGTTATAAAGATATAGGTACACATGTAATCATAAGTGGGCGTGGCTAGCTCCATTTTCGAAAAAATTATAATATTCTAATTTTACGTCTAAAAGGCACTGTAAATATTATGGAAATAGCTTCAGTTATTACTAAAATATCGCACTTTTCGCATTTCTGAAAACTACCGTTATATGAGAAGTGGGCGTGGTTACGGTCCAATTTCGCCTATTTTCAATACCAACCTACCTTGGGTGAAGGGCAATTCAAATACCAAATTTCGTTGAGATATCTGAATTTTTGCCCGAGTATCGTTTACACGGTCGGACGGACAGACAGACAAGGCTTAATCGACTTCTCTTATGATTCTGATCATTTATGTATACATTTGTCTATATCTAACTTAACGAACACGCGGATGCGTGCTCGAAAAAATTAAAGTTGGGGGCCGCCCCGCGGCCCCAGGTTTTTCTAAGGATAGAAATGAAATACAAGATTAGCAATGCAAGAGTATATTTACCATTGAGCTCCCAAATAATAATGAATTACAAATATTACTTAAAACCATCGCTAATTATCTAAATTGCCCGAATTAATTGATTAGTTGCTGACGCTGCGCTCCCCACGATTTGCATTTTGGTTGCATAAAACCAATTGGTATCGCTTACGTTGTAGGTCAATTACCTGCACTGGCTATGCGCGTGTTTGGCGAAGTGCGGCGTCAGCACATTCACGTTAGTAAGTGTGTTGGCCCCCTTGTTATCTACCCCCAGCAGGGTCCCGCAGATGAGTCGATTTTTGAAGAGGATCTTTGGTGTGGGTCTTTGGCTGATCCTGATCTGTTGTTTGGTTTAGCCTAGGAAAGTTGATTGTAGCCGTAAGTTTTTTCCAGATGATGTAGCACATGGATGCCAGGATTGTCAAGGTAATAGCGTCACAAATTAAGAAGAAGTGTAACGTTTACCAAAGCGGGTGGCAAAGCCTGCACTGTGCGTACTGATTTGCTGGTGAACGTTTGATTTCCCACAATGACCGTTTGATTACTTAGTAAAATAACGTATGTTCCATTGAGGACCGCGGAGTAGTTCCTCCCCTTCAACGGCCCTTGAAAGTTTGTAGTACATATTGTTGCATCGGTGATCATCTCAACAATCATGTTGTTGTCTGGTTCAAAGTGGCATTTAGCATCGCCGTCCTTCACTAATCTAGCCAGGCATCCGTCTTCTGGAAGTTTCGTTAGAGATTTGGGTAAGCAGATTGTTGTATTGCTAATCGAAGGGCAATCCTCGTTCAGTCCGAACGTTTCTTCTTCGTTTACCAGCATCTTCTTGTAACCAAGTTCAACGTGTTGTCCCCTTATGACAGCGGCGCGTGTTATTAGTAGTCGGTAGCTATCTGGTTTGACTTTTGGTATTGATAGTACGTATAAAAGGATACTACCGTTTGAATACACGGAAGCCGATCCATATTCTATAGCTTCGATGGTGTTTTAATATGGCAGCGAATCTTCTTCTATTAAAAGTCTTCGTACCTCGTCTCGATCAAGTAAGTTTGTGTTTATGACACCGGATTTTGCCATTTGGCACGCCTGCATGATCTCTGATACCTCTTCCTTTAGGATTAGAACTTTGCTCAAGTCCAGAAGCTCCAAATTCTCTTCGCTAATATTTTTGTTTATAGCGTTGATGTGTAGCATCATTTCATTTGCTTTCTAAATTGCCTCACGGTAAGTTGAAGAGCTTTTCATTGACGCGGTACTGGTGGTTATTATTTACTACAACATCTTTCATGCTTCGGAGGATGTAATCCCAATCTGCTGCATCTGGAGACCCGGCGATCCACTTCCATGCGGATCCAATCCAGTCAGTGGAACGTCTTCTTCGTGACTTACTTATTTGCAGCTCGTCAAGTTGCAGCTTAGTTTGGTTTAGGTGGAATAGCAGCACAGTACGCACAGCTTCGCTTCTGATATCGTGCTTTGTTGACTCGATCAATTTCTCCAGCGCCATATTTAAGTAGTTATGGTCGACCATATGACTAAACTGAAGTGTCCGTTCAGAATCCTACCACGCCCATGTTCAATAGTGACCAGCGGGGAGTCGTAATTTTAAATATTGAGGCCGTAAACGCCATATTAAAAGTAAACTGTCTTACCGTCATGATTGAGGAAAAAAATCAAAAATGAGAATTTCTTAAATTAGCATTGGCTTGTTTCGACGCTCATTTCTATCTTTTTATATTTTTTCCAACTTTTTTATTTCTTTCTTTTTAGCTTTTATATATTTTTTTTATCTTCAGGGACGGAGGAAAAAACCATTTTAATTAGTATAAGTAATTAAATGGTTGCATATTATCCTTTTCTTAAATAGTGCTAGAAGGTGTTGAACTTATTTAGTAAAGGTTAGTTGGCCATATTTTAAAATTATCCTTAATTNTGGCCAAGCCAGCGGAGCCGCTGAATTTTAATTCGCTGCACTATGTCTATATCGTTGTAAAGCTCATACAGCTCATCGTTAAATCGTCTGCGATATTCGCCATCACCAACGCGTAAAGGTCCGTAAATCTTTCGCAGAATCTTTCTCTCGAAAACTCCAAGAGCCGCCTCATCAGATGCTTTCATTATCCTTAATTAGTTGAGAGAATAGCTAGAGGTTTTTTAAACTTATTTATCAAAAGATAATGAGTAATATCTAAAAATTATTCGATAATCAAGAAAAAGAAAAAAATGACATATAATTAATTTTTTTCTTTTTTTGTTAGCAATATTTTTCGAAATTACGCTACAATTAAATTTTTGTTTTCCGTTGTACATCGGTATATTCGTATATGCTACTACCGTCCCCGATTCTCTAAACCACGTCATTGGAAAATCCACAGGAACCAAGAATGTTAATAGAAAAAACATTTTTAGTACAGATTTTGAGCAGTTTTGTATTTCTTTTTCAAGTATGCCGTTACGAGTTACTTCCTTAGGGTCCTGTGGCTTTACCAAACCTGCGGTAGAGAAGTTGTTATCAAAAAGAAAAAAAAGAAATTGAGTGTTAATTTTTTCATTTTTTTTTTTTNTTTGTTAGCAATATTTTTCGAAATTACGCTACAATTAAATTTTTGTTTTCCGTTGTACATCGGTATATTCGTAT